TCATATATTTATATATTACACACACACACTAGGGAGTTGGGGGAAGTAAGGAAAAGGGAGGTTTCAAAAAGAACCTTCATATGCCTCCTTGGGAGGACTAACTTGTACGTGATGGAAAGGAAGGGAATGGCCTCGGGCGTCCTAACCCAGGCCCAGGGGCCAGCTCAACAGCCAGTGGGACATCTGTCACCCCATTGGTCGCCAGGGTTGATTCGGCTGATCTGGCTGGCAAGGCGGGTGTCCCCTTCCTCCCTCACCGCTCCATGTGTGTCCCTCCGGAAGCTGTGCGCTCGGTCGAAGAGGACGACCTTCCCCAGTAGAGGAGGACCGGACTGTTCTTCGGTCAAGGGTACACGAGTAGGTGCGCTCCCCTGCTAGAACCTCCAAACAAGCTCTCAAGGTCCAGTGGGATATCTAAACCGAGCTTGATTTGGTGGCCAGCCACATGCCTTAGGACACTCTCTTGATCCCTGAGGCTACGAAACCACCCCCGGAGGGAGTCCTACACCCTTTCTCACGTGGGAAATACCACGTGATAGGTAGATGAGCACGAGACAAAAACCTGATTGGGTGACAGGTGCAGGGACGGTTAATCAGATTAAAACAGCCCACACCAAAGAGCCCATAACAAACCCTAGATTTAAACGTCAAATCGGGAACCCTCTCGGGTCCTTCCCTCTTTGGGAGCTTTGTACTATCACTCAATAAACTTTGTTTTGCTGCCCACCGCCCTTCGTCTGGTCTACCTCTTCATTCTTCGAAGCGGCGCGATGAAGAACCACGGACACCTGAGGAAAAGAAATTCTGCCACATAGTCATCCCCCCTCCCCTGCACCGAGAAGCGCTACCTCATTTACCCCTGGGCATGGGTTATGATGTGGCGAACAAAGGCAAAAGAAATGTGTCCATTTCAGAGTTCTTTGTCATTTATAGTTATTATTCCGATGCCCTTGTAAAATGAGTTTTGTCTTCAAGGAGATTCATAGAAAGGGCTTTTTGACGAATACAGGTATTTGATTATCTTTAAGATCATAAAACTGAAATGGGGAAGAATTTCCAGAACTAACTAAAAAGCTGCCTTCAAACTGAACAAGAATTAGTAACGTGGGACTAAAAACCGAAGAAGATGAGTATAGTTCTGGGACTCTTGTTTGAAACACTGCTGGTTCTCTATTGTTTGCTCTTCCAGATCAAGGAAACTTTCTCTTAAGATATCCATGATTTATGGAAATGTGATAAAGTATCCCTTTGTGAACACATGGTAGCATTTCTCTCTCCCTGAATCCTCTGAAATTCAAAAGGTCTCAGTAGGGCGCCTGGTGGCTCAGTTGGTTAGGCATCTGCCTTCGGCTCAGGTCATGATCTCAGGGTCTTGAGACTGAGTCCCACATCGGGCTCCCTGCTCAGCGGGGAGTCTGCTTCTCCCTCTGACCCTCTTCCCTCTCGTGCTCTCTCTCTCAAATAAATAAAATCTTTAAAAAAAAAGGTCTCAGTAAGTATTCTTTCTTCCACAGCAATTATAATAATTTGCACAAGTTCCTTAAGAATCTGTTCTCCTTGTAACAGGACACCACCGGAAACATTGGTTATTTTACCAAGGCTTTGACTGGAATGTTGTATTTGAGAGACATGCATAGACTCAGATATGACCAAACAGTTTTAAGGAATTAAGTTTGACTTTATGAAACCTGGAGCCAAAAGAGCCTCTTGGAAATGTTGGCCTGATCCCTTGCTTACAGAGGTCCCAGCAGCCTTACCAGGTGAGTAAAGAATGTCACCTCCTGGCAGGTGAAGGAACCTCAGGACATTTGGGGACCTCAAGAAGAGGAATGCGTCCAAATCTACAGGTGCTACAGGCATGTCTGATGGCAAGTGTTGGCTTGGGTTCTGGCTTAGAGAGGCTACTGAAAGTGAACCGAGATTCCTTATGAAAAGTTCCAGCAAAGTGGATTTTGAAAGATCTATGTGATCAATCACTATTCTTGCTGAGTTTATGTAAAACAATTGGGCCAAGTTTCTTAAAACTGGACTTGCTTTACAAACAAATTAGTCTGGATTTGGCTATCTCTAGAAATAAGGGTGATTTTAGAGAGAAAAAAGTTATGTTGCAATAACACATCTTTGCGGATGTTAAATTCTAGCCCTGATTGTCTTTGGAATGTTTGTTTGCCTAAGCTAGACAACTTGAGGTGAACTTCAGAGAAGTAATAACAGATAATCTTCGTGCTTGCTACTCTGTGGGGATAATAACAGGACCGCTATGGGCGTATCATTATTTGAACAGGTGGAAAATGGGATGAATTCCCCAACAACTGTCTAACTCAACTATCACCCTGACCAATTCTGTGTGGCTGGGAGGACAAAAATCGATCTTTAAAAGCCAGAGGGCATATGCAGCAGAGTGGCTCAATCGGTTAGGCGGCGAACTCTTGATTTTGGCTCAGGTCATGATCTCAGAGTTCTGGGATGGAGCCCCGAGAGAATCCCTCTCTCCTCTCTCCTTCTGCCCCCACCCCCACCCCTCGCACTCTCTCATGCTCGCTCGCTCTCTCTCAAATCAATAAATAAATCTTAAAAGAAAACAAAACCTGGAGCTTACCCCCACTCCATGAGATTAACTATGGACTTGTGGAGATAAAGGGTAGCCCCACTTTCCTAATGATGGATTGGATGATGCCCTCGGGGATGCCCATATTCCCAGACAAATCTCCCACTTGCCTGTGATTCCTTGTAATTAGGATATTGTCAAGGCTAGACCTCAAACAAAGAGGGCTTCTTGATGGTTTTATCCCTTAGCCGTATTTGTCCTAGGAGCCACCTCTATTGATGTAAAATTACAAATAGAGACTTTAGCCAGGCATCCAATAGCGACCTTTAACCAGACATTACGCACCTCTAACTTGCGGCCATGGCTTCCCCCAGCCTGGATAGGCCGCTGTACTCTGGTTTTGGCTGGAGGCACGGATGCACAATTAAACCCATTACCAATCCAGCCAAACTTCCAAATTTATTTTTATTTATTTAATTTTATTTAAGATTTTATTTATTTGACACAGAGAGAGAGAGGGAGAGAGCAAGCAAGCACAAGTAGGGCAAGTGGCAGTCAGGGGAGAAGCCGGCTTCCTGCTGAGCTAGGAGCCCGATGTGGGGCTCGATCCCAGGACCTTGGGATCATGACCTGAGCCAAAGGCAGACGCTTAACCGACTGAGCCACCCAGGGGCCCCCAACCTTCCAAATTTAAAACAATGGTGGACACCTTCTGTGTTTCATTGGTATGACCACCCAGCATCCATATTTATTCCCTCTTTAGGACTGGAGGATGTCGTTTGGCACATGGAAACTCTTAATAAGTACACAGTCAAAGCCCTAAATGACATTTAAAATAGCATTTCCCTATTAAATGCTGAAATAACACCAATGTGTAAAGCAGTTTTACAAACTAGAATGGCATTAGATGTTTTCACTGCTGCACAAGGTGGAACATGTCCTATCATAAAAACAACATGCTGTGTATATGTTCCAGATTACCACAAACATTTTTTCTGGGCTTCTAACTGACATGAATGCTCACATTGGTGCTTTAAATGATCCCCCTCTTTCCTTTAATGGTTGGTTAAACTCCTGGGCTGGAAGAGGATTTTTGTCAACTATTGAAGGACTCTTATTTGGGCTCCTTTTTCTTTTTGTTATTCTTTTTTTTTTTTAAGATTTTATTTATTTATTCATGAGAGACAGAGAGAAGAGAGGCAGAGGGAGAAGCAGGCTCCCACTGAGCAGGGACCCCGATGCGGGACTCGATCCCAGGACCCTGGGATCATGACCTGAGCCGAAGGCAGACGCCTAACATCTGAGCCACCCAGGCACCCTCTTTTTGTTATTCTAATAACGCTTTGCTGTTTTCTGCCAGGTCTCTCTCCACCTGGTACCCAGACTCCTTCATTGTCATAACTTCAAGCTGACAGATGATCCTTTCCACTGGGGAAGAACCATACATGCGGTCTCCCTTGGATTCAGCTGCCTCTGCCTATTGTAACTCCTATGTATGTCAGCCCCCAACTGACGAATGTTGACCCATAGGTAGGGACGTCTCTATGCCCCTATTCAGCAGGAAGAAGTTACAGAAGATAAGACCTTCCTCCCTCAGCAACCTTAAAGACTTAAGTGTCAAAATTATTCAGGGGGGAAGGACGTGGAGAACAAAGGTAAAAGAAATGTAGATCAAATTAAATCTCCTTACGACGTACAGCCCACTGACAAGCACTTGAGACAGGCAGTGACCTTCCTGAAGGAGCTCGGCCAAGTCGATGGTAATACTTTGCTAAAGGCAAAAGGCAACCTTATCTTAATATTAACCCGACCTCCAGGAACCTGTAAGGCTCCTTTAACATATGAAAATACTTTTGGAAACTTCCTTTGTCTTTACTACCCACCCCCCCTCCAAAGTCTATAATCAGCCACGCCTCACGACTCTGGGGCAACTCTTTCTGCCGCCCCCCCGGGCGTCCTGTTCCTGTGCTTTAATAAAACCACCCTTTTTGGGGTGCCTGGGTGGCTCAGTCGTTAAGCTTTTCTGCCTTCGGCTCAGGTCATGATCCCAGGGTCCTGGGATCGAGCCCCACATCGGGCTCCCTGCTCAGCAGGAAGCCTGCTTCTCCCTCTCCCACTCCCCCTGCTTGTGTTCCTTCTCTCGCTCTGTCAAATAAATTAAAAAAAAAAAACAAAACCAAAAACCCACCTTTTTGCACCAAAACCATCTCAAGAACTCTTTCTTGGCCATTGAGTCACAGACCCCACTTGAAACCACATCAGTAAGGCCTCAGGAAACTCTAGCTATTGCTACTAAGAATGCCCTGACCTCCTCACAGTAGGCACTCTTACTTCACGGAGCCTGGGTTCTGGACTATGCTTCAATAAGTGATTTGGAGGGTTTTTTGTTTGTTTGTTTGGACCCACATGCTTCATTTAGAAAGCCGTTCACCTCTTCCCCGAAGTTTCTCACCTGCCAGGTGTGTGCGGGGCTGGCCCGGATAGAGGCCCGCTCTGCGCCAGGAACCAGGCAGGCTCCGGGGGAACATGCTGGAAGTGTCGTCTCTGCAGACACTGTGGCATCCCAAGGGTCTGCTTAGAAGGCCGTGGAGCAGAGGGAGGTGCCCTTCGGGGTGTCAGCTGGTTAAGGGCAGAAGTGAAAGTCTAGACGAGAAGGGAATGGAAAGGGCTTTCCAGGGAGAGCCAGCAGCACGGGGCAGCACTGTGATACTGTGATTTAATACGGAATATATATCTGGTCTTAGTTCGAGTCCTGGCGTAAAGATCCTAAAGTCCTTGGAATTTCCTAAGTGTTGAGAGCAGTAAAGGCATTCTTGTGTCCGTCCATGTGGTGACTTTTGGGAAAGCCCCTAGGTAACCTAGAGATGGGCAATCATGTGCCTGTAATTGAAGTCTCCATAAAAACCCAGAGGACGGGGTCTGAAGGGCCTCTGAGTTGGTGAACCCGCAGAGGTTTGGGGAGAGTGGTACCCTTCCCCCACACCTTGCCCCACGCATCTCTTCCATCTGGCTGTTCCTGAGTTATATATAGCCTTTTATCTCAACCAGTAATCAAGGAAATAAAATGTTTCTCTGAGTTCTGTGAACCACCCTAGCAAATTCATCAAACCCAAAGATGGGGCCTCTGATCATGGCCGGTTGGTCAGAAGCACAGGTGACTTGAGATCTGAGGGGGATGGGGGGCAGTCTTGGACGGAGCCCCTCACCGGTGGGACCCGATGCTGTCTCCAGGGAGACAAGTGTCAAAATTGAATTGAATTGAATTGTCAAGACTCCCAGCTGGTGTCAGAGACTTGCTTGTTGGCGTTGAGAAGACACACGCACATCGCAATCATGGACCAGCTGTTTGCTGGGTGAGGAGGGGGGCGGGAGACGGAGACATGCTGGAGGTTTGGCCTGTTCCCTGCAGCCCCTGCGGTTCAGTACAGAGTCCCCTGGCCAGACTGTGCTTTGGTGGGTGTGCAGGGCCTCCCTGAACAGGACGAGGGGGCGGGCGGGAAGGTCAGGGAAGAGGTGACGAAGGATGACCGAGGGGAGACAGGATGGACAGGTGCCTCATGGCACCTCATGAGGAGTGTAGGGTCTTGGGAAGGTTCCTCAGTGTGGGCTAGAGAGAGGCTTCTTCTAGCACAGATAAGCATGGAGCACCTAGTTTAGAGACTTGGAGGCAAATGCAAAGGGGAGAGTAGTTTAAAAAAGCAAAACAAAAAAACCCAAAAGCACCCCATCACAGTGATCACCTCAAAGAGGCAGGACAAGGCACTGCTCTTTCAGGACGATTTAAGTGTATGCATGTTGCATCTTAATAGCAGAATTAATATAAAAAAGATGCAAGCCATTTCTAGGGGATGGTCAATGTATTTTCAACTAGTTAATTTTGTGAGGAATGATTTTTAGAACGATTTAGGTTCACAGCACAAGTGAGGACAAAGTATCGAGGTCTCCCGTATACCCCGACTTCCACAAACACATGGCCTTCCCCGTTATCAACACTCCCCACCAGAGTGCTGTGTTTGTGACCTTGGATGAACCTACTTTGGCACATCATCACCAAGACTCTGTAGGAGCACATTAGGGTCCCTTCTTGGTGTTGGACATTGCGTGAGTTTGGACAAATGTGTATTTTTAAAATAAAGATTTTATTTATTTGAGGGAGAGCACGAGAGAGAGAGAGAGAGAGAGAGTGAGTGCACAAGCGGGGCAGGGGAGGGGCAGAGGAAGAGGGAGAAGCAGGCTCTGATGTGGGGCTCAATCCCAGGACCCTGGGATCATGACCGGAGCCCAAGGCAGACGCTTAACCAACTGAGCCACCCATGCGCCCTGGACAAAAGTGTGTTAACAAGTATCCATCATTATAGTATCACATGGAGTGGTTTCACTGCCCTAAAAATCTCCCGTGTTCTGCCTATTCACCCCTCCCTCTCCCCTAGCCCCTGATCTTTTTACTGTCTCCATGGTTTTGCCTTTTCCAGACGTTCAATAGTCAGAATCAGTAGAGCCTTTTCAGATTGGCTTTTCACTGAAATGCGTATCATCCATGTCTTCATGGCTTGATAGCTCATTTCTAGTTCTGAATAATATTCCATTGTCTGCATGGACCACACTTTATCAGTTCACCTACTGAAGGATATTGTGGTCGCTTCCAAGTTCTGGCAATTACGAATAAAGCCGCTATCAATATCCACGGGAAGGTTTTTGTGCAGATGTAAGTGTTCAGCTTTAGGTAAATATCGAGTGTAGCTGCTGGATCGTATGGCAGGAGTATGTTCAGTTTTATAAGACACTGCCCAACTGTCTTCCAAACTGGCCTTACCACGATGCATTCCACCAGCAACAAGTGAGAGTTCCTGCAGCTGCACATCCTCCCGACATCTGGTGTTGTCAGGATTTGGGTAGGTGTACGGTGGTATCTCCCTGTTTTAATTTGTATCACCCTGATGATACGTGGCTCGGATTGTCTTTTCATGGGTGCATCTGCCATGTGTCCATCTCCTTTGGTGAGGTGTCTGTCAAGGTCTTTGGCCCATTGCTTGTTTTCTTGTTAAGTGTCAAGAGTTCCTTGCATATTTATCAGATGTGTCTTCTTTTTCCAGTTTTATTGAGAAATACATACATGCTGGTATGCTGAAGGTGCACAGCATGCCGGTTTGGTTTGCTGCACCATGAAATGATCACAACAGGTATAGTGAACACCCGTCATCTCATGGAGATACCCTGCCATATCTTTTGCAAATATTTTCTGCCAGACTGTGGCTTATCTTCTCACTCTCTTCATAGTTAATGTATCTTTTAACTTCACACAACCCAGAAAGGAGAACAAAGAAACAAGCAGCGCTTTGGGGTGGAAAGTTCCCGAAGGTGCAGCAGTTAAAGAAAGCTCAAGTTCCCGAATGGGGGGCCACCTGGGCTGTGTGGGGCAGCCAGCTTCAGTGGCCCTTTTTGGATGGTTGCTCCTTTCAGAGAAGAGCCCTAGTGTCCCAGCAGTCCGCCCACGGGGCAGTCTGCAGCTGCCATCGCTGTGGGTCACAACGTGGCCTGATATAATGGTGCAGGAAAAGGGACAGGGTCAGGGACTCGGCGCTGGAGTTTCTGGCTAATGGGAGTTTAGCTCCAAGCCGTGGGTCCTTGGAACCTGGACCTGATGATCTTCCTATGGGACAGGCCCCAGGAATCTGCATTCTCAAATCCCCATTCCACCGCCCCTCACACACCTGAGACCCTATCAGGTGAACACGGGAGAAGCTGGCTGTCAACAGGGTGCCCCCTCCTCGACTGTATTTGCCCACAGAGAAGGGCCCAGATGTCATTTCCAGGTCCCAACCGTGTAGAAGGCTCTGGAGTCACCCCACAGCAGAGGCCAGTCTGTGCCCACCCCCACCCCCACCCCCATCACAGGCAATCAGTTTACCGAACATGCAAAAGAAAAATAATTATTTAATTTAAAATAGCAAGACTTTGGCTTTGACCCAAGATGGTCAGGGTTTCGATGCAGTTTTGCACACGCCAAAAAGACCGACCTCACGCTGTTATTATGCCACAGCAGGAAGTCTGTAAAAATGTTTCTTGTACAATGTTTCTTCTTGTCGTGTAGGTAAGAGGAGCTCTGTGTGCACCCTTAACCCCGGGCCAAATAATACTCTTTATTAAAAGACAAAACAAACAAACATAAAGAACTCAGAAGCACAGAGAGGCAGAAAGCACCTGGTAAGCCCGACTCAAAGACCAAGGTTCAGTAAGTGCCTGAGAGGGCAGGGCTCTGGGCTTAGGACACCCGGATGAAGCTGTAGCACCTGTCCTGAGCTGGGTCACACCTCTCTTAAGCCCCTACTCCCTCTGCTGGCCCTTCCTGACCGTGGCCTGCTAGGGGACGCCCAGGTCTGGCCAGTCCTGAAGGAGCCACCCGGGGCAGGCAGCCAGCACTGCAGTCTAAGCCAAGGACTCTGGGGCCCCCTTCTGAGCAGGCTTTATTCTTACCTCATCCTCTGTGGCCCACAGGCTAACTCAGCTCTGTTGAGCTGGGATTCCCCTGCAATGCCTCTTCTTGTCCCTGTTTCAGCTCTCGCATGGGAGCCATTTTCTATCTTGCAGCAAGCAACTTCCTGAATTGTCTGCTCCATTCTAGAGGCTAAGGTGAGGGTCTTTACCAGCTACGTGCCCATGATCTGCCGTACTGTCTCTGGGGGATCCCTGGATGCCCCTTATATTGTCCATTTCTATAAGGAGATTGCCCTACTGACAAGTAGCTTTCTGGAGGGTAGCCCAGGGTTTACGGTGAGTCCTAAGGGGATGATCGCCTCTTGCTGATTTTCATAAAGAAAACTTCAAAAAAAAAAAAAAAAAAAGAAACTGAAAATGAGCATTTTGGATCTAGTTCTGTCAATGGCTCTTTCTTTCAGATTCTCTTCCTGTGACAGATTCTGCTTTTAAGAATAAAATGGGAATCAACAGTATGGTGAGGCTTTGGTTTTTAATCCAGAACCGTCTTATTAGAGGTTCAGAGGATCATTTCGGTTTTGCAGCGTTCTGACTGAACCCAAGAGAGGGACGCCGATAGGCTAAAGTTGAACCCCCCCTCCCCAAGCCTCCTGTGGTGACGCTGACACTTGCCACCTTAGCCAGTGGCTTCTGTGACTTAACAGAGAAACGGTTTTCTGAAATAACAGGAAAATGTCAGTGGAAGAGCCACGGTTATAGAGATACGGATGCTCATTTTCGATCCTTTTCTTTCAAGTGTAAATAATCACCCCATGATGCATGTGTCACTTCCCCGAACCAACTCCCCAAAGCTTCACCTTCAGGGAGAAATCTGTTATTTGGATCATTCACCAACTCTCCGGTCACCTTTTCTATAAAAAACTAAGCTGGGAGGTGATTCAGCCGGATCCCTACCAGCTCTCCCCAGTCCAGTCTTCCAGAGAACAGACCCGAGAGGCAGCGGACATCCGCTGGGATTCCCTGCAATGCCTCTTCTTGTCCCTGTTTCAGCTCTCGCATGGGAGGAGGGACCCTGTATTTTAAAGTGACTGGTGAAGGCAGGCAGGAGTCTGGGTTCTGGCCTGGGCTTGAAATTCAAGCACAATCTTCATCGAGGGTTGGCAACCCATAGAGAGAACCTGGGAGGTCCCGAGGAGACCAGCTGCCCGGAAACCTCACGGGAACCTTCCACCTGGTTAAAGGGAACCGGCTCTTTTGCTGACCAGCAAAGCTATCCGAGAAAAGCTGGGTTCTCCTGGAAATCTCAATGCCCTGACAAACCAAAAATCGGCTTTATGATATCTAAGTGGGGGACGCATCCCTGGTAACCCCTGGCATTTTATTTAGGACAGGTACTTGGTATACATATATACCTCTTTGTGCTTTTCCCCCAGGTGTGGGTCCCTTGAATTGTAAACAGTGCTGTGTGGTCACGAGGCCCATGAGCAGCGGACCACAAGGCAACCTGACAGCAATCACGTACCGATCTCACTGCCGACCCCATGCAGGCAAGTGCCCTCGCGTGCAGTAGGACACGGGTGGGAGTGGGATGTGCCACCTGAGGGTCTAGGAGGTAGAAGCAGCTGGGTTTGTGGTGGCTCCCCCAACAGGGGGTCAAGAGCTTCAAAAGCAGAAGGCCTCAAGTACCAGCAGACGCCCACCCGCACTTCCTGCAGCAGGGACTCCCAAAAGCACCTGTCCCCAGGCAGGCAGCATCTGTGCACAGAACTACGAAGGGAAAAGCTCAGGTGCCTGGAAGTTCATCTGGGGTGCATCTGGACCCCTGAGGTTCTCCTGTCTTGGAGGGTGCAGCAGGAGCCTTGGGAGGGCCAGCCGGGCTCTCAGCATGCGGCTGGGAAGAGCAACAGATGGAGAAGAGCCGAGTTCGGACGGCCTGGGTGCAGAGAACGAACATGATGCAATTGGCACCGCCCTGAAATGTGTTCCCAATACCCTGTCGGGAGAAAAAGAGGCGTGAGGGCCAGGGCTGGGGGGCGTCTCTCTCTCTCTGCTGGAGGGGGTCTCTCTCTCTCTCTCTCTCTCTGCTGGAGGGGGTCTCTCTCTCTCT